AACCAGAAATGCTATCTGCTAGAAGAGACAGGTAGACAAGCAGGAAACAGAACACAATGCACAACCATGGTTGAGAATGCCATGTTCTGTTCAAGAAATTCAGAGGTCAAATGAAACAAGAATACTACTTTACCTTTACAAATAGTACTCTTAAATTATTAGAGACTCTAAAAGCACTCAAGACAAGGGTTGCGCGTCCTGTGTGAAAGATTCAGAAGGTCTCTTGGGTGCACCTGGCTGAAGCATTAAAATGGACTCTGAAACATTTCCGAAGGAAAATCTGACACCACTTTTGGCATCTTCCCAGAAAACCGTCTGAAACAAACCTTGGTCTATATTTCTATCGCATGTATCTGCATTTTTCAAACTGGAAAAGTAAGGAAATTGTACCGTGTTCTGACAGACTGTTGTACATTGTGTATTAGCTTTCCTTCCCTCCCCAAGAACAAATCAATAATATTTTGTGGGAAATCAAATATAATGGATGGATTCAACAAGCGCTACTGTCTTTTCCACACATTTTCAAGTTTTAAGGAGTTTGCTGCATTTACTAATGACTCACAAAATGTGTAGCTGATGCTAAGGGATAAGTAGTGCCATTCTAAGTGGAACTACATTCTTCTAAGCCCAGTGTGCCTAAGGTGTAACTCTGCTTACAGTGGTACTGTTAGTGGTTCTGAAGGTAGTACTGATGAAGCTCCTGTCACTAATCAGCTGAGCAGTCCCAAAGTCTCACACAGGTCCCTGCCACACGGCAGAATAAAAAACGGGCGAAGTGCGGCTAATCAGAGCCGCACCAAAATAGAGACGCTACGGTGGGATCCCACGGATCCCCTGAGCCGTGGCGCCGTTGCGCCCTGGCACGATCAGATGCCGGGGAGGAAGCCAGGTTGGGAGGGGGAGGCTGCCGAACTGCACATGTGTGAGCATACGCAGTTTGGCCAGGAGCCGGGGATGTGCCGGCAGAAGGATGTGCCGGCAATCCCACGGCCGGCCTTGATGCGGCCTTCCCGGAAGAACCACCTTGGTAGGTGGTTTATTTTTGCTGCAGCGTTTTGGGCGGAAGGGCCGGATCGGGGACGGGTGCGCAACACTTCCCAGATGTTGCGGTGGGATCGCACCCGTTTGCTGCGCCCCCGATCCGTCCCTCTCCCGGCCCAAAACCTCTCGTGTGACCGGGGCCACAATATCCCTGGCTGCCCTTTGGCTAAGGAACTTAAGGCTGTGGTCATATGTGTCAGTTGAAGCACAGGGGAAGATAGGCTATTTCCTCCGGAGGAATTTGACACACAGTTGTGAGATCACATAGCCCTTTCAAGCTGCGGGCGCAGCCTGTCACTGTGTGATCAGACACAACTGTGGGTGAGTCGTGGGGTTTTTTTGCCATTTGTTTCCCTTGCGCATAAACGAGCAATCGAGAAATTGCACCTCCGCACTGAGGGCCCCCTATGGAGTATACGATTATGTGCATACTGCGAAGGGGGGGGACATGGTATGGAGTCGGGATGACCTGATCAGTCCGTCCCAAGAGCATGAGAGCATGCTTGAGCAATCAGACAGGGGAAAGACCGCCTGTGGCCCATTTTATCTGGATAATACCAGACTTTCCCCGGTGTCTTTTATCTCTGCGTCCGTGGCAGAGCAGCACGGGTTGCTGACAACTACAGGACACTTCCCAGGTGTTGCTGTCTGATCGCTCCCTTTAGATCCATCAGGCATTTGTGCTTATGTCAGATCTAAAGGAGTGTGTGATTGCAGCCTAAGAACAGCAGCAAGAAAAGGAAAGCTACACCAAGCATGGACCCCCCCCCAAAAAAGAGAGAATTGGCGTAGTTGGCGGAAGTAAAAAGGCTAGGAAAGTAGGGGTAAGAAAAGTAGTGTTGTGAGTAGGGCAGAAAAAATCAGGCTGAAGGAAGAGCTTGAGAAGAGCAAGAAATGAAATTGGTTGAGAAAGTCAGTTATACAGACATCTATTCCAAACATGAATAGTTTTAAAAGTGCATAGTGTTTTGAACTACACATCTCTGAAAGAACTTTACCTCCTTCTAGAATTCCTCAGACTTTATCCAAACTCCTAAACATAGAATGGAGATGTTATGTCAACCACACTAAAGACTTTTTTGATTTAAGCATCTAGTGTTTAAAGATTTATGGATGTTCAGATTTAATTTGTTGTTGCTGTTGTTCAGTTGCACAGTTGAGGCCGACTTTTTGCGACCCCATGGACCACATCAAACCAGGCCCTCCTGTCTTCCATCGTGCTCCAGAGTTTGCTTAATTTCATGTCCATTGCATCAATAACACTGTCTAACCATCCCATCCTTTGCCGTCCCCATCTTCTTTTACCTTCAATCTTTCCCAGCATCAGGGTCTTCTCCAGTGAGTGCTCCCTTCTTATTTGGTGGCCAAAATATTTGAGCTTCAGCTTCAATATCTGGCCTTCCAGGGAACACTCAGGGTTGACTTCTTTTCGGATTGCCTGATTTGATCTCCTTGCAGTCCATGGGACTCTCAAGAGTCTTCTCCAACACCATAATTCAAAAGAATCTATTCTTTGGTGCTCGGCCTTCCTCTCGCAGCCATACATTACTACTGGGAATACCATTGCTTTGACCATACTGAGGTCTCTACTTTTTATTATGCTGTCTAGGTTCACCATCGCTTTCCTCCCAAGGAGCAGGCGTCTTTTAATTTCATGGCTGCAGTCACCGTCTGCAGTGATCTTGGATCCCAGAAACGTGAAGTCTGTCACTGCGTCCATGACTTCCCCTTCTATTTGCCAAGGAGTGATGGGGCCGGATGCCATGATCGTAGTTTTTTTGATATTGAGTTTCAAGTGAACTTTTGCACTGTCCTTTTTCAATCTTAGCAAGAGGCTCTTTAGGTCCTCTTCACCTTCTGCCATTAGAGTGGTATTGTCTGCATATTTGAGGTTGTTGATGTTTTCCCCAGCAATCTTAATTCCGGCTTGTGATTCATCCAGGCCGGCATTTCGTATGATGTACTCTGCATATATATTAAATAAGCAAGGTGACAATATACATCCTTGTTGTACTCCTTTTCCTGTGCTAAACCAATCAGTTGTTCCGTATCCGGTTCTAACTGTCGCTTCTTGACCCTTATACAGGTTTCTCAAGAGACATGTGAGGTGGTCTGGTACTCCCATCTCTTTAAGGACTTGCCATAGTTTATTGTGATCCACACAATCAAAGGATTTAGCATAGTCAATAAAGCAGAAGTAAATGTTTTTTCTGGTACTCTCTTGCTTTCTCCATAATCCAGCGATTGTTGGCAATTTGATCTTTAGTTCCTTTACCTCTTCGAAACCCAGCTTGTACTTCTGGCAGTTCTCTATCCAGGTACTGCTGAAGCCTAGCTTGTAGGATCTTTAGCATGTCCTTGCTAGCATGCGAAATTTAATACAGATTTAATACAGATTCATATATTTATATTTTGCAATAAATACTACATATTCTATTTGTGTTTTTTAAAAGTTGTTCTCTCTGGCCCTTAGCAACTGAGTCTGACTTGTAAGTTTAAATAAATAAAATAATTAACATTGAGCGTATTTGGCAGGATATTGCATTTTGTATTTCTGCAGTGTGAATGCTCTGCAGACAGACAGAGGACTTCAGTCCCCAAGCTTGCCAATCCCTTATCTTTTCTGAACTTTTAAATTAATTTTTAAAAGCCTATTTATTCAAGGTTGACTAAACTGCTAGAATAGGAAAGATCAGACAAATCAGTAGCAAGAAATGAAGTATGAGGAAACCAGTACTCTTTGACAAAATATCCCTTGGGGCAAGTGTGCTGAATGAAGCCAGCAGGGAAACGATAAGGGCATTTATGCTGCGGATGTAGGAAAGCAATTTATCAAGAGTACATGAACTCTCCAGTGACCACAAGCAAAGAAGATACCAAAGTACAAGAGGAGGGAGAGGAGAGGACCCCCTACAGCATTAATTTAAAGCCTGACAAAATTATATATTTATATATACACACATGCACCCACAATACTGTGATGAAAGTTCATTGTGTTAAATGCAGCAATTCATTAACAATCTCTGCTTCATTATGATATAGAGATAGAACTCAAAATTATGAAGCTTAGTAGTGTTCTTGAGGGCTGCATGTGTCACTTGTATATAGGGAAACTCATAGATCCCATGAATAGTTAATCTATGATAAATGCACCTGTGTCTGTTTTTGCTGCATGCACGCAGGTAGAAAATCTTGAGTGGTGTGTCTTAACATTATGTGTCTAGTTGACAAAACAGATAAATATGTGCCCAAATAGAAGTGACATCTTGTGTGAAATCTGCTATTTAGAGAGTGTGTTCAAATTACAAAGACTGGAAAAGGTATATGACAGATAGTCGTGGCAGTTTTGGAGCTTCTGGAAGAAAATGGGAAAGCAGAGGAACTTGAGTAAGCAGTGATTATTGCACTGTTGTGTGCACAACAGCGAGTTTGCACGCATGCATTCAAAGGAGGTATTTCAGCATGGTACCTTAAAGCTAAAATGATGTTTCCCCTCCTTCACAGTAGTAGTTCTTACTGCTCTTAGCAATTTCTCAGTGAACGCTGCTGCTGTAGAAATATCTGATTAAGTGAACTTTAAATTTTGTTAGTCTTTAAGGTGCGGCTGGCCTTGGAACATTGTTGTAGAAATATGTTTTCCTTTATTGTCCTCTTGTAATGATAGGTGTATTTGGTTATAAAAATTTAAACCCAGCTAATACCTAGCAGCTTTTTTCAAACAGAAGCTGTTGTGTTCCAATTTAATAAAATCAATTTGGGAGGGAAGGGTCCAGGAAGAATGCTAATCAACTAGAATTTTAAACTTGTATTCAGTGCTTATAATATAGCTTATTTGTTTTGTCTCTAGAGTTATTTCCTTGCCATTGTTTTTTTTTTTAATTCAACTTAAACTGTGCCCTCTGTATGGGAATGTATTTTTAGACTCAGTGTATTTTATGTTTCTTGTTTCTCTCTCTCAGCTTTGGACAAACTTAGCACCCAGCATCTATACCATCCAACTCAAGTGGAGATTGTACAATCCAATGTAGTGTTTGATATCAGCAGCCTGATGCTGTATGGTACCCAGGCCGTGCCAGTGAGACTGAAGATATTGCTGGATCGACTCTTCAGTGTATTGAAGCAGGAAGAAGTGCTGCACATTCTGCATGGTTTGGGCTGGACACTTCGGGACTATGTTCGGGGCTACATTCTTCAGGTAGGAAGTGGCCTAGGGTATGGATTTCTTTAATAACTCTTGACTCCAGGGCCAATAGGCATGACTTTTTCTCTCTTTTTTATAATGTAAGATGGCTTGCATAAATTGTTTATAATTGGGTGGAGTGGAGGAGGAGGAGTGTTACTGGAAGTTTTGGGCATCTTAAGTGACATGAAGACATGAAGCTCTTTGTCACGTTTTTCTTGTATGTTTTCGTAGCATGGCAGGGATTGGGTGGGAAGCATATAACAGGCTTGATAGGCTCTTGGGGATCTCAGTACTCCAATTCTAAGCAGCTGAAGTTTCTAGTTCTAAAAGTCCTGGAGAGTACTGTGAAATCAAATGTAGTTCAACAAAGAAGCACAAGAATAGAGATTAAATGCAATATTGTTCACTTGGTATGATTAATACGGACTCTAAAGACTTTTCAAATTTATCCCCTTTCTAGATATAATTTTCAGGATTTTTAATAACTTAAAAATAATATATACAGTTTCTTTACCAGCTCCAGGTATTGTCTTCATGTTACTAGAATTATATAGGTAACATGTCCTCTGGCTTGTGTTATAATTTCATTGTAGTCAAAGATGTTCTTTTTTAAAAAATGCTTTGCAGTCAGTTCTTCAGCTGATATGAAAACTACAAGCCCTGATTTAGGCTCATAAGCATGATTCTCTAACACTGTAACTTGGAAAGCCCCAGGTTTTCTAAATTTTTAAGCCTCTTTACTAAGGAGAGTAGTTAAAGTAAGCATAAGAACATAAGAGAAGCCAATGTTAGATCAGGCCAATGGCCCATCTAGTCCAACACTCTGTCACACGGTGGCCAAAAGTACCAGGTGCCATCAGGAGGTCCAACAGTGGGGCCAGGACACTAGAAGCCCTCCCACTGTTGCCCCCCCCCCCAAGCACCAAGAATACAATGCATCACTTGCCCCAGCCTGAGAATTCCTATCTATACATTGTGGCTAATAGTTAAAGTAGAATAAGCAAATAATATTGACATTCTATACTCTGTAGTTGTCAATATGAGATTTTATGTTTAAACTATAAATCTGAGCTACTTCAGATACTGTATATTTAGCTGATGGTGTTTCTTTAACCATTAGAAAGGGCATATGCATAGGGGGACATGTCCTAGTTGTAGAAACAGCTATTAGTTCTCCTTCAAATGTTACAGGAACCTGTGAGCAACTGAATGCAGGAGTTGACTATGCATTTGGCTGGCATCACACAGCCCAGATTAATTTAAATGTCAAAGACAAATTGTAGTTTGTTCTGACAGGCATTTCATGGTTAATTGTTGGACTCACAAGCCATTTCCCATCTCCTCAACCATGGTTTAATAATGGTTAAGAATCCTGGTCATGGGGTCGGGGGGGGGGCTGATTTTTTTCCTTTTGGCCAGACCTGCTTCAAGACTCATTATTCCAAAGTTGCAAATATTGTGTAAAGTTGAAACTATATTGTTGTTGCTGTCCTTAAAGTTCCTAGACTATACTCTGTCTCCTAGCTGGACAACTCTTTATTTACCTTTCTTCCCAAGCAATACCGTTACTCAGCAAATGCAAGCTGCAGTTTGTTATGGCACCCACATTCAGAGATCATAATTGTACTGACATTAGTTGGAGTCTTCTGTTTTCATCCTCAGTGTGAGGTAACGAGGAAAGGGAGAGAAAGAAACATGGTAGACCATCAGTTCAAGCAGGTCCATGCTCATCATAAGCAAACTCTGGTTTGTTTGTGACAAATAGAGCCAAAACAAACTAGAGGCAAACAGGATCTGTACCAGATTTTTTGTGGTAGCTGCACTGAAGAAAAGATTGATTAAGGGCTGCTGGCTGGATAAGGGGTTTTGAAATTCTTGTATTTGTCCACTAATTTGCTGCCATTCGCAGGTCTTGCCAACTGCTTCAATCCAATTTCAACTATACTTATTGCCCAGTTACTTATGCATCTTGTCTCTAACCAGCCCATCCTGGCAACTAACCACCCCCCTCTACCTATATGTAAGGCTTGAGGAAAATTGTTTCAATGTATCTGAAGAAGTGTGCATGCACATAAAAGCTTATATCCAGAATTATTATTATTGTTGTTATTGTTAATTTAATTTATACCCCACCCTATCCCATGAATTAAACTTTGTTGGTCTTAAAGGTGCCACTGGACTCAAACTTTGTTCTGTTGCTTCAGACCAACATGGCTACCCACGTGAATCTGTCCCAAAGTTGTAGTTCACCCTGTGCAGGTGAAAAGACAAGTTCAATGCCTGGATGTTTATCCTCTTCCCTGCTGCTGCCAGAGTGAATAGAAGCTTTAAATCATGGAAGAAGCATGGGAGGAAAGGTTTAAGCAGCCTCTAGCCCAGCAGCCCTTCCCAGATCTTCAAAGCAGCTGCCTGGGGCTGCTAATTATCTTTTTAAAATCTGTGGAAGATCTGACACACAGATCATCCCTATACAGAGGTCTTTCCAATCTCATCTGATTTGGCCCTTAGAAACTTTAATGGAACATCATTGGTTTCCTTTATTAATTATCAGCTTTTCTTATTTCTTGAGGTGAAGGTGTATATAAAAATGTATATATTTGCTTCCTGTCACTTCAGAAAAATCAATACAAACATAAAGATTTGCTTTCTAGAAATACTGAGCCCCCAAATATTTCACAGTTAAAAACAGGGGACACTCATGTGCATGTGTAATGCCTTATTCTGCCATCAAGGACCACTGCCTGAGGCACCCCTGCATTCACAGCATAAATGACTGAAGGCTCTTCTGCGCTGGCTATCTGTTGACTTTGGCTGTAGGGTCTGTTAATAAAAGTTGCTGGATGTGTTTGAGTTGCCGCTCTAATGCTGTAATAAGTACATTGAACTCTGTACTGAGATTAAACATATCTGAAACACTTTTAAGTAAAAAAAATTTTTTTTAAGAAACTGTTGTGGTCAGTTAGGCAATCAGGTTGGTTGGAAGAAACGGTGTACTGGCATTTTGCATCTATAAGAGTGCATTAAGAGCTAGCATTGCCAGCTGCAGGTTGGGAAATTCCTGAAGATTTGGGGAGTTTGGGGAGGGGTGGCACCTCAGCAGGGTATAGTGCCATATAGCTCACCATCCAAAACTGCCCTTTTTTCCCCGGGTAACTGATCTCTGTCTCCTGGAGATCAGTTGTGATTCCAGAAGAACTCCAGGCTCCACCTGGAGATTGGCAACCCCCGTTCATGCATATGCACTGCTTCTTGCTCAGAGATAGGCAGTATGATCCTGAGCAGAGTTACACCCCACTAAATCCATTAAAGCTGATGGGCTTAGAAGGGTGTAATTTTGTTTAGGATTGCACTGTTAACTTCTACAGGCCGATCCGAGAAGATCCAAATGCTAGTGCACATATGTGCTCACTAAATGCATTTTTAAAAGGGAGCCACTTAAAAGAAAAATAGGGGCAGCTTATATTGGCTGGAGATATCAAAAGAGAGGGCATCAAGAGTTCATGACCAAAAACCTTCTGTGATTCATGTTGGATTTATAGTCCAGGTATCATGGCCTGTTTTAAGTTCTGGAAAAGTTCCAGCTAACATGCTCCACTGCTGAGGAAATGTGGAGGCAAGTTCCATTGAATTTAATTCCAAATGAATAATTTCAGGATCAGGGTGCAAGTTTTGAAGACAGAACCAAATGGTAGATTTTTTCTAATAATATTTCCGTTACCTTTTCTTCCTCCAACCCTACTTCAAATCCTTTTTCTTAGTTTATGTAAATAAAACCTTATTATATAAAACTGTACAAAACCTGTGGTAAAAGCCAGTTTTCTGAAAGGTTGTTAATTTGTTTTTAAGGATTTAAAGAGCTATAGTTGCCTAAATATATCATTTTATTCCACCCCCCCAATGATTATCTGCCTCCACATATGCTTTAGATTCGATCCTGTGCCTTGCATTCGCAGATGTACATTTCTTTCTTAAATGATGCCATGTGTGCTTATGCATTAAAGTGTAAATTCCTGAGGTCTGAATAATGTTGTTTAAAAGGTGGGTAAAATGGCTAGAATCATGATGAGCAGACTGGATTTCCACACAGAGCTAAAAATGCATTTGTTTTCAAATGCATACTGAAATCAAGACAAGTGCTTTTGAAGTCTAAGGCTCCTTGTAGTGGGCAAGTGTTGCAGGAACAGGCCAATTTATGCTCTTTAATTATCCTTTGGAATGCTCCCATTTCAGCTACCAGATCCACCCCCCAATGATTCTTGTTGCTAGTGGCTTTTACAGGCCAGAACTCTGTGCCTCTGATAAAGTGGGTTCTCCAGTTCTGGCCTGTGAAATGAATGGGTTAGTTTCTAAAGTGTCACCAAAACAAATTGTGGGCCTTTTTGTTCAATGGAGTTGAAGTGATGTTTAGAATGTTCTTTTCATTAAGTTTACTTTGTAGTGCCACTGTGACTTTTAAAGACCCTCTGTCATGTGAGCAGGGACAAAAACCTCTGGCTGGGATCAGAGGTAATGGTCAGCACATACAGGTTTCCTGTTCATGTGATGGTTCAATACTTCTATGGGATGAGCCCATTTGAAAGTGTCTCCCAGGCTCCTGTTACAACATCTAAAAGGCATTTTATATATACAGCAACACTGTGCTGAATATTCTCTCCGTTAAAGGAGAATAATCATCAAGGCGAACTGTAACAGCTGTTAAAAGCCATACCACATACTGATTTGGTTAGCAGTTGGCTGTAGATTGTGTTGCTGGGCAAATGAAGGGATTTGGTAAGTGACCGAGGCAAGTATGCCTATTATTTTGGTTCTCTAATTTTATGCATATGTAACTTGAGAGGCGGAATATTACTAGAGGATTTGTGTGAAAATGTGGGGAATTATAAACTGAATAAAATCTGAAAGAAAACTTGTACCTAGTTTCTGTTTAAAGTGATAGCCGTATGAGCAGTACTAGATAGATGGATAGAACTTGTAACTAGCTAACTTATAAAGTTTTGTTTGTTCTCCTAATA